ATATTTTTATCAATTTTGAATATTGATATGCTNTCAAATTTGTATATTGATATCCTTTTTTTTTCTTTTTTTGTTTTGTGTTTGAAAGCTAGATGGATGCACAAATGATGATTTTCCTACATCACAGTGGTGAATGGGTTATGAATGAGTACGTTAATTTTAAACTATCGGGCCTTGTAGTTCGTAAAACTTGCAGATTCACTGAGCTATGTGATGTATTAAAGGAGAAATTTAAAATTACATCTCAATTGGCCGGTATTGAACTGAAGTATAAACTGAAGGAGGGATATCCACCAATGCCCATTGATGACGATAGTAGTCTGGATTTTTATGTCCGGTTGAGAGCGAATGAATCCGACTACACGAACTTCCCGCTATGCGTGGTCGTCACAAATCCAATGGCTGGCCAGAACTCGTCTGACTACGCCCATAGTGTCCATGACTTGGGTAACGAAACTAGTGTAACTTCTGTGAGTCGTATGGATATCGAGTACTATATAGATAAGAGAGATGAAAGAATGAACTTCATGGATTTCGCACGAACAGTGGCTGCTGAAATGGTTGATTCTGTAACATGTACGGAAAATATACAGAATATATTCCCTAACAGCGAAACGAATTTGCTGGATGAGCCAAATGTGGAATCTAATATCGTTGTTGGTATATTATTCAAAGATAAGTCTATGTTATAGAGATTTCTGACAATGCATGCCATAAGGAATCAATATCAATTTAAAGTTGAGAAGTCGTGCACAAAACAATATTACGTGAAATGCGTTTCTGATGAGTGCACGTGGTCTATGAAAGCGTCGCGTGTTGGCCAATCGAGTATATTTAAGATAAGAGTTGTCGGGACTGATCATCGGTGTTCATTAGATGTTCGTATGAGTGGCCAGCGGCAAGCTACTTCTAATGTAGTCAATAGTTTCATCAAGACGAAGTTCATTAATACAAAAACTTCATATAATCCCGGTGATATCATCGACGATATGCAACATCGTTTCGGGATAAACTTGTCATACCACAAAGCGTGGCGTTCGAAGTGCAAGGCTGTGGATGAGGTTAGAGGCAATCCAAATGATTCATACGAATACGTACAGCAATATCTCGAGAAGGTGCGTGTTTCGAACCCAGGAAGCATTTTGAAGTTGAGTACTACATCTGAACGGAATTTTCTATACGTTTTCATGTCTCTTAGTGCATCAATAAAGGGGTGGAATCATTGTCGACCAATTATTGTTGTCGATGGCACTTTTCTAACATCGGCGTATGGAAGAATTTTGTTAACTGCATGTTGCCAGGATGTGAATTTTCACATTTTACCGCTTGCTTTTTGTGTTGTTGACTCGGAGAACAACCAATCATATACCTAGTTTTTTTCGAAGCTGAGACTAGTTGTTGGTGAAAGAGATGGGATGTGTATTGTCTCAGATGGACATGAGAGCATCAAACACGCTGCCGCCACAGTAAGTGTATATGTTTAGAATATATTTTGTATATTGTATGTATATATGAATGTAGTTGGGTGATGTTACTGTTATACTTACCAATTTTGTTGTTTGTCAATTGTATAGGTCTTCCCCACTGCGGCTCATTGTCTATGTACATATCACATATCAAATAAGATGAAGACGCGTTATAGGACTGAATCTCAGTTAGTAAAGGAAGCTTTTCACGCAGCAGCAAGAGCCTATACCGTGGAGGAATTTGAGAGGCATATGGCAGAGATAAAGAAGTTGAATCCAAGTGTTGTGACATATTTGGAAACGATTGGCATACACAAGTGGGCAAGAGCACACTGTCCTAGTAATAGGTACTTCACAATGACATCTAACGTTGCTGAATCAATAAATGCTGCGATGAGGTCCGTGCGTGATCTCCCGATAACAACACTTTTGGAAGGGCTTAGAGACATGCAACAAAGGTGGAATGTGGCGAATCGGTCTGAAGCCAAGTCCACATTTACTGCACTTGCCAAGAAGCCGCATGATATGTTGGAGAACAATTACAAATTAGCCTCCAGATTCTATGTAAGACTGGTTCATCAAATATATTCTGAACATATACACGATATGTCTGGAATATAAACATTTATCGTGCTTCATACGTGTGTGTATATGTGTATATGTGTATATATTTTTATTATATTTTTATATACAGGTGCAGAAAGCCAGCGATAGTATATACAAGGTGTTGTCTTATGGTCAAGCCTTTATAGTGGATATAGTCTCCAAGACTTGCTCATGTCATCGATTTCAGATTGACGAAATCCCTTGTGCGCATGCAGTTCGTGTGATACAATCACTTCATCTGGATCCCGTTCCATTTTGCTCTGTTCACTACTTAACATCGACTATGTTAAGTACATATGATGAACCAGTAATGCCAGTAGGAGGTGACCAATCCTTCGCATTGGAGGCACCGCCTACGTTGCGACAAGTAAATCCACCGGATGAAAGAGTTAGGCCAGGGCGACCATGTAAGCAACGACTGAAGTCGGGGTGGGAACATAGATCGAAAAATTGGTGCAGTAAATGTAACGAGAAGGGGCACAATGTAAAAACATGTCGTAATCCAAGAAAATAATAAAAAATTATGGATTTTCAATAGTTATTGATTTTGTTGATATATTTTAAGATTATTGTGTGTGGCGTGTACTTTATAATCATGTAGTATAGTCGTGCGCATTCAAATCGTGTTCTGTTTTAATGTGTTTGTTTCAATTTATATCGATACCACACTATATATTCTTTTATATATATTCTTTTGGTTTAAGTTACTTTTTTTTTAAACAAACATATTCTTTTATTATTTATGTTTGATGTATATACACTATATACCTCTGTAAGACTGATTCAAAAACTTTTTCTATTTTCTCTGGCTTTATGGGCCTGTATATAAAAGAATAATATATATATATATATATGTATATATATATAGGTATATATACACACGTATCAATATTCTCCAAAATAGGTTTATATTTCGGATATATTGTGTATATTTTCATAATATGTTTCTGGATTGATGTTACGGATTCTATGAATGCTAAAAAATATTTTTGAAGTGTATATTTACTATATAATTGCAGTATATATTTTTTTCGTTTTACCTTTTTTCACTTACATGTACATATCCAGTATTTATAAATCTCATTTGTGTGCCCGTTTGTATGTAACAAAATCATACAAATGTAGGAAAAAATGAAAGAAGTTGCAAGTACTGATTAAGTGAAATGTGAAATCAGAAAATCTTTCAATAACATCACATGAACTAATTCATCAAAAAAGTCGATTAAGATTCAGTGAATGATATAAAAACCAATATGACCTAAAATGCTAACATGTCCGAAAACCAAAAAACACATAAACGATTGTAATAAATCATCACAAAGAGTTCCAAAAGGACATCATCAGTCAGTAAATGATCACACGAGTCTAGTACGGACTTCATCGGGCAGTGTACCAGGATATTCATCCTCACTCTCCAAATCCTGGTCTATCTTCATCCTGCCATGCTTATACAGCAAAAATGCGAATCTTAGTCTCTCCATGGCGGCATCGAACTTTTTCTTAGTAATATCGACGTCTGATATGAAATGCTCGGCGAACGATGCAACAATATACCGCAGTCGCTGCATAACAAATATAAAAAGACAGAGGGCGATAAAGAAAACATGAATATATAAATATATATAGTAGAGATAACACACACTTTTATATACATAACATATACACATAATATTCATGTCTAATCATTTGATAAAAACCTGTTATGTTGCCGTGGGAGATCAGGAGCCATTTTTATCTTCAGAGGTGAGTTCACGTCAAAATTTAAGCGTCCATTCATGTCGTTGTTCAAATCAGTCCTCTTATCGAAGAAGTGTATCAGACGTAGGAAAATAGGAATAATCTCGGCATAAGCTTGAACACTATCTAGAACGATCGTGTCTACATCATCGGACTTAAGTGAATTATAAACCCACAACGTCATGTCAGCGAAAGAGAGTCTAGCCAAAATCCAATGTCCAACTCCATTGATCTCAACATGCATTGGGAAGAGGACGTGGTCGACATCAAACCACGAGACTCCACATATAATCTTGTAGCCGTAAATGTAATCAATAATCATGTCATCAACGGTGCATACAGTCTGCTCGGGCGATTGTGCCAAAAAAGATGTATATAGTGCCTTGATGTGCTGGTCAAATAAAACATCGGTTGTTGTGTACCTTACTTTGGCACGCATCCCGTACAACCCGTTCTTGCGCATATAGTAGAACAAAACATCCATGTGCTGCAATATATTTCAAATAAACAGACAAATGTTAAAAAAAAAAAAAAAAATTAATACGTAATCATATTACAGAAAAAAAAAATGATTGTAATTCATATCAGAAATAAAGACATTGGGGCACACTGAACCACTCACACTACTATCAAGGAAAAGGCCCGTCTCATGGATTGTGTAAAACCAGTTCTTATCCGTGACGGAATGAACATTGAAATCAAACGGAGGATTCAACTTCTTGTACCTCACTTTGTAGTAATTGAAACTGCACAAGTTGATGATACATATTAAGTTTTTTTCGAGTATGATGAAAAATTAAAAAATCTGACATGTTAGTAAAAAAAAAAGTGTGACATCTGTATGTTATGATATATATAAACTCTGAAAAAAGATATGGTTAATATGAATAGCTATTGTTATCCACTTACCCATCACCCTCTTTTCGGCATCGCTGTAGAAATCCCTCGCCAATCCAATTAGTATAACCCATTATGGTATGATCCATAGTGGAAAGATCCCAGAAATCACAATCAAAAGGGCATGACTTTTGGAGAAGATTCCTCGACTCTCTNTTGGAGAAGATTTTTCCTCGAGTCTCTTTTCTTTTTTTTTTTTCAAATTAATATCACAAGGAGGTTGGTTCCCGGTATCTCGGAAGACAACAATTGCGGTGCTAACTTGTTCAACATTTTCACTACTCTTTCCACCCTCTACATTTCTTTGATCCGCACCTACTTCAGACTGATACAATATGTATGGAAAAAGAACAATAAAAAATGTATTGCATTATTTAACTGTGCACACATATACTTGAAATACTAATATTTAAATTTCTGATAAAATGGATTACAAATTCGTGCGGTGCGGGAGGGGCGACATAGTTAGGTGGTGTAAGTGGTAGGTTGTGTGTGATCGCACTGAACGACGGTTGAGATCCATTGAGTGAAAAACCAAAAATTGGATGTGGTTCTCTTTTTGGGCCCCTCGAAGTTGATGAACGTGCCTGTAACATTAAAATTGGACAGATTCACATTCATTGCTATACAGTGTATAATATACATAATATATACATGAAATATACTAAAATAACTTTGCGGTACCTGATTCTTTTCTCTTAAGGCAAAGTTTATTTTTTCTGCAGTATCAACCTCAACTAGAATTTGAGTGTTGATTGGTGAAAAAGGGTCATCATCTTCCGCCGGGCTGATAATAGCGTGATCCCGGCTTTCTACAATAGCCTAATTAAAGAAAACACATAGCAATTTGTTATATAATTTAAGAAAATTTACGATTTATGGTACAATGAATATCTTATTTGTTGTATATAAGTAAGATACTTTATCTTCTGCACGTGTTTGGAGAGCTTCTGATTTCGTGCTAATAGCGGTAACAACAGTCTCGTGCCCGGACTTAACAACAGTCTCCTGCCCGGACTTTAAAACTTGTCATAAAAGATAAAAGTGGACCAAAACAGAAACAAAATAAAAAAAGAAGATATATCTTATATAATTAATATACTTTATCTTCTGCACGTTTTTGGAGAGTTACTGATGTCGTTCTAATAGCGGTAACAACATTCTCCTGCCCGGACTTAACAACAGTCTCCTGGCCGGACTTTCACACAAAAAAAAAAAGATAGACAAACTTGTCGTCATCATAATCATAAAGATAAAAGTAAACCAAAACAGAAAAAGAGTATAAAACTTATATAATTAAGATACTTTATCTTCTGCACGTTTCTGCAAAGCTTCTGATTTCGTTCTAAATGCGGTGACGACATTCTCGTGCCCAGACTACAAAAATTAAAAATAAAAATAAACATAAAAAAACAAGAGATATACCTGTCAGGTCAAATATATATACATATATATATATATATATCCAAACAATGTACAGGATATTGAATGCATGGATGACAAATATATATTTAAGATACTTTATCTTCTGCACGTTTCTGGAGAGCTTCTGATTTCGTTCTAAATGCGGTAACAACATTCTCGTGCCCAGACTACAAAAAAAATGAAATAAAATAAAATAAAAACAAGAGGGATGTCTGCAGGGTTATTAAAGAATTGTAAATATATATATATATATATATATATATTTTTTTATGTTTGATTAAATAACAGGGTGTTAAAGAAAATTTTTAATAAATTACCTTATCCTTTATCGACGATGAATGCACGTTCCCCTTGATATTATATGTTTCTAATCCAAATGCATCAGTGGTGTCTTCAGTGTTTTTTCCATCATTTCTTGTAGAAATCTACATATGAAAAAAGCAACTTCAAGCATATATCCTCTTGTTGATTACTCATGCATATGGACAGTATATTACATGTATATATATTGTGTATATATAGTATATTTATCAAATTGACGTGAACTTAAAATAGCAGACCGTATATGTCTGGGATATATGATGTGTATATATATGTAATAGACCATATGATTCGGTGTATATGTTTGTTTATATTCTGTACATATATACAGAATGTAAGGTTGACAGATAATATATATAAAATAATATTACTAATTAATCGTATAAATAATTTAAAAATTTATTATACTTACAATGAATGTATTCTTGAGTAGCTCTAGATCAGCCATAACCCACTTTGAAAAGTCATAGAACAACTGTTTCAAGTTCTCAACGTCAGATGAAATTGAATTCAGACGATCGATGATTTCCGAGTTACTGGTCGGCTGCGGCGTAGATGTCGTGTGTGTCTCGTTCCGATTGAATTCATTCTTGTTTTGGAAAAAGGTGACCAACAGCAGCGATTGCTTCTCTTCCAATGTAGGTGCCACGTTCTTAAACTGTAATGAATAAATGAACGAAAGTAAGACAAAATGAATCAACAGTCTTATGTATATTTAATGAATCTATTTGCAGCCCTTGACATCAAGTCTAGGGATAAAAGTACCTTGCTGGAGTCCAAATTCGAAAAAGCCCTCTGTACATAAAGATGGTTTTAGGTGCCATGGACTTCCCACTTGAGCATTCTAGGGATTTTGTTATTTCCAATCAATGTGCATACCACGCCTTCGGCTTTGTTGCAGATTTCATAAAACCATATTTGCAGAGCTAAGATAAACCCATAACATCTGTAATTGTAACCACCTCTCTTCCCTTCTTTGTGTGTGTGCTCTCGGTTTATCATTGATTTTTTAAGGTAATGGAGCGTAAATTCAAAGACATCAGTCCCCCAAGGATACTCGTCAAAAACAGAGCTATCGATAATGTCGAGATAGCATCTGTCAAACCGGTGCGCGTCCTGCGAACCCATGAGGAAGTTCGCAAGTAGATGTAACTTCGCAAACTTAACCGCGTCTGCATCGGATTTTCATGATTTCTGTAAAAACTGCACTTTTATGCAACTACGGTTAAGTATCAGACCGGAGAAGTAATTGTCATATAGGCCTTCGGATACTTGTGCGATGTTAAGCTTCTTGCAAGTACCAGTGCATTTAAGACCAGTGATAAGGGCAAACTCTTCAATCCCAAACCGGAACAATCTTCCTCCAAAATCAAACCACATCTCATCTGTCCTGGGTTGATAGACCTCTCGTAAGAGAATGTGATTAAGCAATTGGATCTGGATTTTTGAATGTGGAAGGTCAAAAAACTTTCCAAATGCCGAACCCCTTAAAATCTCCATCTGCCCGGGGGTAAGCATCCCCTTTATTTCATTTATGGTCGACCCAGGTTGGCTGTTATCGTTACTGGTCTGGATCTTCACATGTAATTTCCTCGGATTTGGTATGAGCAATTCCCAGTCCTGTTCGAAAAAAAGGACATGTAAATTTTTACGCCCGAATTATGTACATGTCATATCCTTATTATATACACATATAGTACATTCCAAAAAAATGGTCGATAAAAAATGTATATATATAGTTATATATAGAAAGGGCTACCGGGGACATATACAACATATAGTGCATGTATATAGCGTATGAGTTCACAAAATCATGATTGCACAAAATTATTAGAAATATAACAATAATATATACACAACACATACACCGCACTGCCAACACAGAAATAAATACTTAATCCCAAAAAAATCGACATGAAAATTTTTGCCCCCAGATTATATACATGTCATATCCTTATTATATACACGAAACTGGTCACAATAAAAAATGATCGATAAAAAAATGTATATACAGCAAGGACTACCTGTAACATATACAACATATATTGAATATATACATACATACATATATATATATATGTATAAGCATTCTTCATTTCCAGAGCATTTGGGCAAAATATATCCGTAACATATGAAATATGTTCATAAAAAAAAAACCTTTTACTAAAAATACCATATAAATATACACTACAACACAAGTTCAACACAGTCAATAACAACAACAGAATAATATAATTTGAAACAAACAATCAACATCACCACAACGACACTACTAAAATAATAGAATTTTATGTATGTTTACTTAAATAAACATAGTAATTTATAAGTCAATCACTACTAAAAAATTAATTTTTTTTTTCTTCAGAACATAATAGAAACTTGTGATTTACCTTAATTTTTCCCAGATTTTGCAAGTATTCTTCTGATTTCTTGAGATTATCAAACCGTTTGTTCCTCTTCTTGGATGGGTTATCTTTATTTTCACCTTTTATTGCTCGTTTCTTGCCCTTTTCCTTGTTTTCTTGCAAGTCGTGGTCCTCGTCACTCGATTCTTCATGGCTTTCACTGACTTCTTCGTGACTTTCGTCCTCAAAGTCGGAATCCATTGTTGCCCCCTTTTGTGCCACATCTCGCTTCTTTCCTTCATTGTGTACCCGTGACCTTTTATGTGGATTGTGGTCGGGTTCCGACTGAAAGTCATCGGAATCGGATGAGGGGTCGGCTTCTCTTGCCGGGCATAATCCGATAGTTATCGGTTTTCTTTTGTTTTTTTTCGAAATGCAATTTTTTTTGAACGAGATTGGGTTTCGTGTAAGCTTTTATTTTTCTGAGACGCGAACTTGATCTTCGATGAGGGGAGGCTTCGGTGTCGGTTACCGGACTTCTTCCAATCTTCGTTTTTGCCATGTTTCGAATTGGATTGATATGTTAGGGTTTGCAGTTGAGAAGTTTTGTGGGAGAGAGAAGAGGAGAAACGTGTTGAAGGGAGTGGGCGGTGGGCGGTTTTTCAGAAATCTTTATTCCCTCTTACCATATTCATCGGGAGCCGTTTTGGTACTGATATTATATACCTTAATTATAGCTAGTAAATTAATTATTTAAGTCAACTTGCTTTATCAACAGATTCTCGTATGTATGCAAATAAAACCGTAATATCTCTCTACAATGCAAATATTTTTAATCAGCTGTTATTTATGTAATTAAAAGATAACTTTGTAGTGTAGGCTATAATTTTCTCTTATTATTATTATTATTATTATTATTATTTTTAACTTATTTTGAGCTTATTCTAAGGCTCAACGTATATGGGATTCTATCTCATATTTTTTTAGCCCATTATCTTTAGCTAAAATGACCCATTTTCAGCACCCCTAGTCACGTCCATTTTTATGAGGCGCCACCTCAAAATGTCGGATCAAAATTAGACGCTCGACCCTTTTCTCTTTTCCCTCTCACGCGTCTTCAGATCGAAGCCCAACCTCAATCTCCTCTCAAATTCCTCCCAAAACCCTGTCGGACCTTCATCCCCGGCCAGCCTCCGTCGCATCGCAAGCCACACCAAGGAGATCCGGCGACTCCGTCCTAGGAAATCTGTGAACGACGGGTTCAACTAAGTACCACCGTGAAAAGACACGCCCCGACGACCTCTGCCGACCTTCGTCCGACCACGCCAAGCGTCTGACAACTCGTTTACAGGGTGCTCTGTTTCTTTCCTGGGCTTCCGGCTGACTCGACCAGCGATGGACCACGACCTCCGCGCTCGAACCGGCCGGCGACCCCTCTTCCAACGGCGACCTACTGCTTTTCCGGCGAACGAATGACTTCACTGTCCGATGGCTGAAAGAGACCGATCGAGGACAGACAATCGCGGGACGAGCGGGTTCCGAGCCCTTTCGTTTGGCAGCGACGAGTCACGTCCAAGACGCCTTTGTTCCGAGCGGCAACCGAGAGCTTGAGCAGCGGCAGACGGGCCGTTTTCGAGAGCGTGTTGATGTCCGGGCTGCAGCAAGCCGAGTTTTCCCGAGGCCGCTAGTGACCATGTTCGAGCCTTGATCCGTTTTTCCTTCGTGTAGAATCGAGGAGTGTGGTAATCTCGATTTTCCCTTTTATTTTCGTTCGTTTGGATACATTTGTGTACTATGTGAAAATCGGATCTTGTTAAGGGTGAAGTTTTTGAATATTGTTGTATTATGTTTAGAATGGTGTGATTAATTTGTGCTAATTGGTGAAATTGTTGGGTCTCTTTAAGTTCTGTGTAATTTGGGAAATTGTAGTTCCTGGCTATGGGAAATCTTTTGCTTGTATCATCTTTAGTCTTATTGAATAGCTGTTGATAAAAACAAGGCCTTTTATTCTTTTAATCACCCTGTGCGTAGTAGAAATGCAGCATGAGAGTGAACAAAATAAAAAAAAATAAAAAAAATAAATTGAGAATTCGAAAGGCTGTTGGTAAATTATGTGGAACTTATGATGAGATAACTAAGACGATTTTGTTGAATAGAAAGCTAGAAAATAGGTAGTCCATTCCATGAATTAATTGCATTGATTGTTTATGATCAGGCTTCCATGGCATCTATCCAATTTGTGTTCAAATAATAAATTGTTTGCGTCATTAGCAATCCACTTGAGGTCTTTGTTAATTTATTTGCCAACTAGTGTATATTGCTGAACCTATTTGATTACATTAAATTATTAAGTGCGTTAATTTCTATATTTTCTTTTCTGGTTTAAACTTAGCCTATTTATTTTGTTTCATTGAGTTGCTGTTGTTATGAACATTGATCAAACATTGGTAGATAAAGATGATGACGTGAATTATCGCATGTGAGTTTGCATTAGTGGCCTTAATATATAGATAGAGTTAGAAGAATTGTGTGCTTTTATCTGTCTTAATTTACCTGTCTTATGTGCTTAATTGTCTGCGTGTTGCCTGTTAATCAAAACCTTTATTAATAATAATAATTAAACCCTAATTTGTAGATTAAGAGGAGTCGAGCTCTCGCACTTGTTTGAACGTGCATTCACCATTATCCTCTGCAATACCAGGTGGGTTTAATTCGAAAAATTGCTATGCCTTAAATGTTATTACTGATTTAATTATAGTATGATCAATGTATGCATATGAACCATGTAGCCTTCGAAGTGAGCTGTACCGGCCATCGAACAGTTATCCCCGTAGCTATAGAACGTACCCGTAGGGTAGTCTCCTTTTTTAGCCGTAAGACCAGGGTTAAAGGTCCCTGTGCTGGACAACCCCGTTGGTAAGACCAAGGTGAGGCCTTGGCCGGCGGGTTACTCCTACTGACCGGGCATCGATGGAAGCCCATGGGGCGATTCGGTGTGTAGGACCGGAGGGCATAGATGTAGAGCCCATGGGGCATTCGAAGCATGACCGAGCGAGGGCCTTCGATACATCTACCGGTAGTAGTCTATTAGTATAGGTGTGCACATGAGTCTATTATTGATATGATTGATAGGAGATTGGGATAATTAATTGATTCGTATACATGCTGAGACCATACCTTATTGATTATTGATTACTGTTTCATTATTGTGAATAATGTTTACTGCATAGTGGTGAGCACTACTTTTTCCAAATGTGCTCATCCCCACCTGAAATTCACGTTTCAGGTTAAGCGAGGCAGGTGCGACGGCAGAGTTAAGCGAGTGGTGGTCGGTCTTTAAGATTGATCCTATTATTGTTGATGCTTCTGCATTTATGAAACCGTTTTTATAATTATGAACTTGGAATACTATTGTATTTAAGGTTTTCAGATTTATGATTGAATAATGTTAAGGGGATGCTCCTTAAAACTTATGAATATTGTTGGAACCCGTTTTGGGTGATTTATGCATTTTTGGAAAAACCCGTTTTGGGAGTTAGTAAAATTGATGATTGAAATATTGATGATTGATGATTGATATTGATAGTTGATTTAGTATTGAGAAATTGGATAAGTGTTGAAGTTTGAAAATGAGTAGCGCCTCAGGTGTTTGAACATAAAATTTGAAAAAATTAATCCTGATTTTCGGTAAATAAAAGTGGGGCGTTACACCTCAATTGTCGCTCGACAGAACTTTTTCATACTTTCAATTGCAGTAGACTCACCAATTTTGACATACTCGTCTGTAGCATCTGCTGGAACACCGTATGCCAACATACAAAAGACAACAATTATTTTTTGTATTGGAGATAATCTAAGTCTGCCAACTCGATCCACTCGTTGTTGAAAGTAATGATCATGATCTTTGACTACATCGACAATTCGGAGGAACAACGAGCGAGACATTCTGTATCTTCTACGAAACATGGTCTTGTTATACAATGTATTTTCTGAGAAATAATAATTGTATAACCTATGATCAACAGTCTCTCGATCACGATTGATAACAATATGCCCAGGAACAGAACCTCCATGGGAGGCTTCTTGGTTTTGTTGATTGAGAAGGTGTTGAATGATGATGTTGTTATTAGTGATAGCACGAGATATCACTGCTTGTTTTTTACGAAGAGTGGTCATAATTAGTATATGATCGTCTTCAGAATCAGATGAAGAAGATGACGAATTGCCAATTAAAATTCATTTTAGAAATGTGGGATTGAGAAATAAGATAAGATGTTTGAAGAGATTCAAGTGTGTGAAGGATTTATTATATGTCATGTTCTTATAGGAGTGAATTTGAAAGGTGTGGTAAACTTTGTAGGAAGTGGTCATTTTTAGGTTAAAACATTGATAGACGTGACAGTCTTTGCAATGGAAGGTCCTTTTCGGGTCAAAGCATTGAGGGGTGTGGGAACACTGCAGTGATATGTCATTTTCGAGTCATAACATGGAGAATCGTGATCACCTTTCCAGAGAGTGTTCATTTTTGGGTCAAAACATTGAGAGGTGTGGGGAACATGTTGGGTTCAATTAGGAACGACAACAACATGCACGTTTGAATTTTGGAAAAATAAATCCTAACGCAGCGGAATCTATAGTTAGGGTTAGGATATTACCGTTTAAAATTTTTGCCGACTCAGAGACGTTTCTGATTTCCTTTGATGGAGATCGTCTGATTACCACAACCCAATCGGTGGAAGGGTTTGGCCTTTGTCGACTCTAGTCGAGTGTTGAATCACGAACGGATCACCGGTTCGATCTTCTCGGGCTCGGGCCGGTTGAGCAGGTTCGGTTCACGTCTCGGGTCGGGTCAGGTTGCGGACAGTTCCCGGATGGGTGCGGGTCAGCCCTGGTCGCGGTCGGGTTGCGGACGGGCGCTGGCGGCTGGTCGCGGACTGGTTCGCGTCGG